ATAGAATTATATAGGGGTTATATGGGGATAATGGAAAAGAAAATGGAAACTACTATTTAGGGTTGAGGGTTTAGGGTTTATAGTCCCCCTTAAGTAGATAGAATATGGGTTAAATGGGGATCCTATTATAATATACCCAAAGCCATATCCTATCTACTTAAGGGGGACTATACCCCAGAGGGTCCAAGTACCCAATAATTTGGTGCTTGGGTTTTGGGCAATAGTATGGGCAAGTATATGAAAAATTAGGTACCTGGGGTGAATAGAACCCCCCAACCTCAACCTGTTGGTTTCCCAAAAGCATGGGTTCCCTTTTGGGCTCCTCATAATAAGTGCAATAGTATATTGGGGTCTATATCGGGGTCCCCCTATTTAGGTAAACTACCACGTTGTACGCGTCGAAAATTTCATGTTTCGAGGTTTGCTGTCATCATCATCATCATCGTCATCAGCATCATCATCAAGCCCACCATGCCTTGGAGTGTTCTTTGCATGAGAGCGGAGCCCTGACTTTCTTTGGAGAACATTGCCCTGAGCCCTACTAAACTTTAGACAGTGTAGCAGTTTCCATCTTCTTTTCCATTCCCTTACATACCCCTCCTTCACAAAGAGTTTTCGGGCTTTGGCTGAGGCCGAGCCAGCACCAAGCTTAGCAGCTCGAAAGCTTTCTCCTACGACTGCGAGCTGATTTTCTCAGAGCCGGTTGGTGGTATGGCCGGGTTCCCTAGACCTTGACAGCCCAATCTTGCATTACTAAGCTGGGAATTTTGTTCCAATGTTGTCACGTGTGATAGACCCCCCTGAAAAACAGGGAATAGTCCTTGAGGATCTTGTGGGCAAGTGAGGGATGGACCGGATTAGGCAACCTCGACCCCTGCCTACCGGCTGAATTCGGCCATAAGGTCTGGGGCGTTGCGGCAGATGAGAGGCACAACCTCCTGATTGCGCCGGCACTAGATCATATGGTGTGCTTCAGTTGCATGGGACCGTTTTGTGTCAACGCTTCTAGCACAAAGCGGGGATCCTGGCCCAATGCCTGCCAGAGCCCTGAGCATAATCCTATGTGTAAGGGGAGGATGAGGCAGGATCCTGTATTGATATTATGGTCCCCGATGGCATGATTCTATCCTCCTTTTCAGTAGAATTTTAGGAAAGGATACTATCTTACTCGGTGTCGGCTCAACCACAGAGAAGCAGTACTGAGGTATGTCTGGAACATGACGCGGGCTGAGCCTTCGAATTGGGAGAGGCTGGAGTTAAGGGCTTTTGGTTCAGAATTTGGGCCTAAAGACCGTAGATTTCGGAAGGTGTGCGTCAGCTCTGTGTTTGGTGAGAGCCTGCTATTCCTTACATGTGAGGACCGCACTTTGACCGTTAATAACCATATGGAGTGATGGTCCGGGTTATGGAGTGCAGTGTTCCCTGTATTGAACCAGCGTTCCCTGTACTGAACTAGGGTTCATGCTTCAATCCTTACAATGCTTCCTAGTGAATACTTTAGATATTGGGGTGCATGAGCTGCACACGTACAAGCATAGGTTCGGCAGATAGGCAGCAGCACTCAGCTTGGGACAAACATGTGGCAATGCTCCATCCTGCCAGCATTAGGACTCCTACAGCTTCCTATCCTCGCCCTGAAGTGGAAGTTCCCTGAACATATTGTTTCATTTCTGTTATCAATAATCCTAATAACCAGCTGAATTGTTAATTTTTGCCCATGGTTCAGGGACTTTAGAGGAAGTAGCAGTCCTTCTTGGAACACTGGGGGCAACTTTGGCACGCTCCCCTGAGTTGCAGGCACATGCTGCATGAGCATCAGGACGAAGTCTGGAGGGTCTGCCGCTGAGTTTTCTGAGAGGCTGCAGTGGATGGAGGAAATCTTGCACCACTTAGAAGTAGAATGCATACTACTGCAATTATTGGGGTGCGGGGTACACGACGTGCTGCAAGACTTCATCCATCAGTATCCATGCGGACGAGAGTGGCGCGTCTAAATATGAGGATAGTAGTGTCCAGCTGACTAGGAGTAACAACGAGGACAATGACAGTTTTCATTTCAGGAATACTAGCTCAAGTGTGGTAGCATTCCCAGTCAGCTGTTTTGCGGGTCTCTGCCTCAGGCAGCAGTTCAGTCAGCATACCAGGATGAGGAGCCAGGATGCTGCTTTGATGGAAGCAGCATCGCACTCAATCATAGTGTGGTCGTATATGGGACCTTTAATTTCAGTCCTTGGTGAGTTGAGATCTGCAAACCCTGAAGCCTTAACTCTCTCAATCCCAAAAATGGAGGTATGCTCTATTGAACCCCATAAACATCATGAACAATCCCGTAGAGCCTACCTTTAAAGTAGCACCCTGGCAGGAGGCGCCCAGGCAGCCTGTGTTCTTAACGGCTTCCTTGGATGGCACAGTGCGGATCTGGAGTTTCTCGCTTGCAGGTAAGGGGTAGCTTCCAGTAGCCGCGAAGCCTGCGCCACTTAGGATCTAAGATTCCGTATTTCCTGGCGGAAAGGTAGGGGTAACAGGGTAACACATGTCCTGTAGAAGTCTGTCTTGATGCAATGACAATGTCAAATGCTGTGAAATCCTTGCATTCACTTGGGGACCTCCCTTTGAGTCTGAGCTACTTGCAATGATGGGCTCCTTCACTAGATGATCGGCGTTCACTTGGCACGGAGCCTAGGCGGTGGTATGCCCTAAACCCATGGAGCCTATGCGTTCATATGCCCCAAACCCTTGTTCTAAGCTTTTTGCCCTTAGTCCGTGTGCGGAATGCCCACCCATTAATTGGACTTTTCCAGCCAAGACTGCTCCATGAAACGCTTGCGCTCACCTGAGGGAAACAAGAAAGCCATGACCTTCCATGACTGCTTGGACATGCGTTTGCACAGGGGAACGAAGCCACGGTAGGAATTTGCCGTGACTTTGTTGGATGCCCGTACCAGTACTATTTCCCTAGAATCCGTAAATCACTACAGTATAAGATACCCACCCAAACACTATTCTAATGAGATGATGAGGCCCCCCCAACCATAAACCCTATAGAAGTCCATAAGACTACATCCCGCACCCCCCCTGATACGAAATATTCCCAATATACTACCATATGCCACAATGTAGTTAAAATTAAGGGGGGGGTGGGGGGGTTTTCTATTATGGGGAGGGGGATTACCCCCCCAAATTTTGGAAACCCTAAACCCTACGTAGGCCCAGTTTCCATTTCATGTTCCATGTTATCTTCTATTTGGTTCTCCAACGTTGAGCTCCATATCCTGGGGAGTGGATTATAACCTACCCAGTTTCCATTTTGTTTTCCATTATCCCAATATAACCCCTATATAATTGCTAAACTTCCATATTCTATCTGCTTAAGGGGGACTAGACCCCTAAACCCTAAACCCTATCTACTTAAGGGGGTCTATAACCTGCCCACCCTATTCTACGCAACTGGGCCCTACATGCGGCTGCGCGCCGAGGCAGGTTCCGCGCCGGGTTCCAGAGCCGGGTCCTCTACAACAGCAGCTACTAAACTGCGGTAATATAGTATATTTCAGTATTTATGGTATATTCTAGTATGTTATAATGCATTATAGTATATCACAGTATATTTTAGTATACTGTAGTAAAGTCTAGTATGGTTTATTATATTTTAGTAGATGAACTGCAGGTAAGCAATTAAATCCCCTGTAAAGTATTGGGAGTGTATAGGGTTTCTAGAGAGGTTATGTAGGGTTTAGGGTCAAGTTACCATAATGATCAATGAAATGGACAGTGAAATGGGAACTGGGACTACATAGCGGCGCATATAGGCTGTTGGAGAACTCAGCATTACTAACATGAATGCATAGTGCGCAATATGGTTTCCCTCATAAACCCTACACCCCAAACAGAACCAACCCAGGCTACATGGTCACGGCGCTGGCGGCCTCATCCTGGATCGCGCGTCTCGATCTGCTTTGTAATGCTGTTTTGAGAGCCCGAATCAGGTTATGGTAGACTATAGTATATCATTTTAAATTATAGAGTATTATAGTATATTACAGAGTATACTAGTACATTAGAGTATATTTATGGTATATTTTAGTAGATGAACTTAACCACCAACCTGAACAAGACATAATGGGCCCCACAAGATCCCTAAACAGGAGCATTGTAATTCCGTGTCTTTGTACTCCCTGCCCAGCATTTTTGAGAATCCTCCTCCTGTTTCCTTAGGCATGGGGACAAGAGCGGCCTTATTGGCCTGTGGAAGGGACCCGACACTTGGTACCGCGGGCTGCAGGCGGATGACGTCATGATCCAGGCCTCTCATGGAATGCCTGGCAGAGATGTAGAGTACTTGTAATTGGTGTCTAAACAGCAGCTTCTATGCGTTGAAATTTTTGTTGGGGCGCGATGCGTGGGGCCGTGGATGTTTCGAAGGATTTCACCACCAGGTTTCGTGGGACCTCTATGCGAGGCATTGGCCTTTGCATCCCGCAACCTCCTGGTTGCGGCTTCTGATGATGGCTGGCTTCGCGTTTGGAACGTGACAGCTGGCGAGGCCTGGCGATGAGGGTGTGTCGTCGCCTTCGGGGCAAGTCATGTAAGTGCCATTTTGGTAATGATGTCTCGATTAGAAATGAACGCCATGAGGATTAGTTTTTCAGCATTTTGGATCGTACTGCTCTGAACATCGCGACGAGTATTATGATGAATAATTAATGCTGATGTGATGATGACGATGATCGTGATGATAAAGATGGTGGCGCTGACTTTGATAATTACTGAATGTTGGTATGCTGTTGAGGTTATTTCTTAACATGGCATTGCTTTGTCCTTCCCTAAAGTTTGCACTTTTACTTGAGAAGCTTGCAAGAGCCCTGATTTGCTCTTCCTAAGACAAGCAAGCTGCCCTCATGTGCTGTGTGTTGGAGATGTGTCCGCACAAAGTTCTGACACTAAAGCTGTGCTTGGGAGGGACCCTGCTGTTCTCATGGCACCGGACTACCGGTGGGTAAGCTGGTGCAGAAGTACTTGTCGCTTCTGGCCTTCCTGAAGTGGTTAGGGTCCCTGCCTGGTTCAAACGAAGCGTGAGTGATGTTGTGGATGCTTGCGTCTGCGCAGGTGCAGCTGGCATGGCGCGCCAACAATGGCAGTGTGGTGAGTTTGGCCACCACGGAGCAATTCCTAACAACAAGCGGCTATGACCGACCTTTGCCTGAAAAAAAGGTTTTGTTAGCTCACTACTGCTGCATCTGGCTGTGCTTAGCGTGACGAAATTGGTATGAAGATATTGATAGATTGTGATGCCTACCGCTACGTCTACCATGACTCAACATCTTTAGAATTACTGTTCTAGCCTCTATTCCACCTTTGCTACCATGCTCATTCTCATCTGGAATTTTACGGGTAGCTTCATCAAGGACTTGGAATCCGTGAGCCGTGGTCGCTGCAGCTTTGGGACTTACACTCCGGTCAGTTCATTTCAGCAACTGGCAAATTTGGCGTGGTGACCCACGCGACTCGGCTGCTACAATTCATAGAGAATCAAATTCAAATGAGCAAGGAACAGGACATGGAAGCTAGGGTTATAGTGTCATATAGGGGATTTATGGGGATCATATCCCAACTGGTGGAGAATCACATGGAAAATGAAATGGGCGCCAATATGTTGTTGTGAAGTTTCCGAAACTCCTCGATCAAGGAGACTGAGTTCCAGTAGGATTGCCAACATAGGGAGTATTAAAGATTATGGCCTTTTTGGGGGGCGCACTACATATTAAGTCCTGTATGATAATGGGACTCAAAAAACAGCCCTCCACTGAGGGGGAGTGGGGGAGTGAATATAGGTACCACTATAGGGGCATACATGGAAACCCTAAACCCTAAACCCTTAGCGTGCCCCGGGTACAAAAGAGGCGTTGCAAAAGAAAAAGACTTCGGGTTTCTTTTGTAGTGATCCACTCCTCAACTCTCTCTCAAGCACCTGTAAGTAACCCTCAACTACCGGATTCTATGTGAGCTATAATCTAAACTCCTTACAGGGGGTTGTATAGTGGAGTATATTGGGGACTATTGTAGGGCTTATCAAGGAGGATACTAGGAGTTTAGACTATAGGTCATGTGGCTTCTAGTCTGGGGCTTGTCAGGTTTCCCCCTCCCCACTTCATCAGAGAAGGCTGTACAACGTTCTGAACTGGAAGTAGGGAATATGAATATATTTAGGGTTTTAGGTTTTTGGGGCTTTGGGGTCCTGGGGTTTGTGGGGTTTAGGGTCTAGTGTTCAATATTTGGGATGGTAGATATGGTAGGAGCTGATATTCGAGGGGCTGCTGTGCTTCAACGGCTGCCGCTGAGGTTGCAAGGTTTGGTGGCCAGCTGGTTCTTGGCGGGCCGGAGCATTTGGTTTACATCGTGTCGTGGCACAATTGAGCTCCGGGTTTAGGGTTCAGGGTTTAGGGATTAGATTATCAAAACGTGGCCAACAACTCGTCCAAGGTACAGCTTCCAGCATGGGAGGTGGTCCAGACATTGAGGGGGCATGAGGAAGCGGTCCAAGCGCTGCATACATTTGATGAATACATTGCAAGTGGTGGCGCCGCCCTTGCCTCAGAAGTTTCATGTCGATTGTAGGTTGGACCGCAGGTGAGATCGTGCGTCATGTTTGCTATAAAGGCATGCTTGAGCCTGAGCGTAGACTTCACAGAGGAAGATAATGGTTCTACTTGTTGCACACAGGTAGGCTGTAGTTTGCGAGTGTCTTGACTAATGCAGCTATCAGATAGCTGATGCCGGGCACCATGTCTTAAAGAGACTGAAACAGGATATGTGTCATAAACCAAAAGCAAGCACAATATGGAGAGAGGGGAGGTGCATGGAGATCCCAAGGATCGATCGGTCAAGCTGTGGCGATGCAAGCGCGCAGCGTGTGATTCCGATGACGACTTCGCAGGATTGTGGCAGCGGAAAAGCGCGAGCTTTGTGGTTGGGTGGGGGGATTCACTACAGAAACCCCATTGAAGACCATCTGCTTGCAGAGTGCAAGTTGAGAGGGGCCGCAAGCGCTTGAATGAGCTTAGCGTGCCACAGTTTGCAGTGGAGGTGGAAGAGATTGGAGAGCAAGCAAAGCAAGAGTGCCTGGCTGAGAAGTGACCTGGTGTAGGGTGTCGTCTGATTATGAATCAAACTTACGCTTTGCTGTACCGCCCAAAATACTTAACGAAGGATGCAGCCCGAATTCATGAATCTTGGGTAGTTGGACGTCAGAAACACATTTGTCACCTAGAGATGCTTCGCCCAGGGCAAAGATGGAAGCAACAATCGCCAAGCTGAACAGGACGCATTTTGTGCCAGCTGGACAAGGGGGCAAGAACAGTTCTGAGAACCGGGTTAAGGGCGTTCATAATTGAGATGTGGTAGCTTCTGCCTGACCACCTAAGCGTAGTTGCGGGGCATTCTGGCAGGATATGGTCCACTGTGGAGTTCGTGTACGATGAGCACAAAGGCTGCGGATGATCTGAGACAGGTACAGAAAGCGTCATGTGTGCCATGGAAGCATGTTGGTGCGCAGGCACGGATGTGCTTCTCATGCGGCTGCGCGATGAGGATGTAGAGATCCTGGAAGAGAACCAGGCATCACTTGCCTTAGCTTTGATTAGGGTGCGTCTCAAAATCAAGGGTCTCCTTGTGGGCTACTACACGGAGTTTGTACGAGGCACCCTGTTTTGAGCTGCTTTCCTTTTTCAGGGATCAAAAAGATGCCGAAAAGCTGACTTTGAGTGCCCGCAGCTGTGTCGGCTGCCGCGTACAAGTATTTGGCAGTGCGACTCACCCTTGCCCCTTGAAAGACCAGTTTGAGCAAGAATTGTTTCCATTAAGCAGGCTTATCTTCATGCATCCCTGTCAACAGACACCACCAGAGTGTTTCTCCAATAATAGGTTCGGACTGTATACCCGTCAGAGTACACTGAGTACATGTATCCCTTGTAGATTTTTGGCCCATCCAGTTGTCCCATTGGCAGCATTTTGTGGAAGCTCTGTCTTGAAAATGGATGGCATGCGCGGAGTCTGGCTTGTTATGCAGCCGGGCTCGTATGGCGTACTCTGTGCTCCAGTTGGGGGTTATTGTGGGGGCCCCTATAATAAGGGGAGGTTTGTATATGTGGAATCTAGAGTTATCCGTCCCAAGAATATGGGACAGGGCTGTGCGGTCAGAGTTTGGGGACCCCAAACCCCAAATCCTCAACCCTAAACCCCCGAAACCCTAAATCCCAAACCTTAAACTTTAAATCCTAACCCTAAATCCTCAACCCTAAATCCTAAGCCCTTAACCCTTAACCGTAAACCCTAAGCCTAAAGAGGGCTCTCGAGATTCTGAAGGGAGTACTGCATAGAGTTCTGGGAAGAACGGAGGCTTTATTGCGCTCAGAATCTTACTGGTGGTTAGTAGGAAAGAAGGGAAAACATTCTATTTAGGGTTTAGGGCTTAGGGTTAGGGTTCGTAGGGAATCAGGGAATATAGTCCCTGTGTGATATCTCCTACTAAGCCCCAGTACGGGTCCCTGTTAGGGCCGCATGGGCAGGGAACTTCTTAGTGAACATCTGTTCTAGGGTCCAAGTGAGCATCTTTTCTAGCATGATGGAGGAAGGTTGGAACTCGTGATCATACTCTTGCTGCTGGAATCACTGCGGATCTTGCTGATTGTGCTATCGAGCACAATTCATGACTACGGCTCCCTTCATCCGCGCAATTACTTCTCCCGTTTGTCCTCAACGACTACTGGTCATGTGACTGCCATGATACGAACAAGAAGAAGCATGTCTCCCGCACTACAGTAAGCTAGCATCGTCTGAAATAGTTTCGATTTTTCCACTATCCCTATATAACCCCAAGGTACTATCGTAGTTCTCATTTTCTTTTCCATACCCCGACATGACCCAATATAAAAAATAGTACCTTCCATTTTCTTTTCCAGTAGCCCTAAACCCTTAACCCTATAGAGCCCATTGTATTATTTCCATGTTCTTTTCCATTACCCCTACAAAACCTCAATGTAGTAGCCCTAAACCCTAAACCCATGATAATACAGTAGCTTCCATTTTCTTTTTCATTCCCCCTACATAGACCTCAACATACCCCCTATACAATCCCAATATACTCCCTATATAACCCTTATATATCCCCAATATAACCACAGTATACCCTCAACGTCATCCCATATAAGCCCAAGATAATCCTAATATAACCCCAATATAACCCTATATACATATATATATATATAACCCCAATATACTAGGAGTTGTCATGGACCCAAGGCTCCTGCTGCATTCCTTTGCGGCTTGCGGCGCGGCAGCCAGTGCAATGGATCAGGCTCCTCACATCTGTACTCTCGTCGAAACTCCTGAAAGGGGGGTTGTATAGAAGATTATACATACATATGTACATATATATAGATAGATAGATAGATAGATAGATAGATAGAGGGTCTAGGTTTAGGGTCTAATGTCCTAAAAGGGGGGTCATATACAGGGAAGGGGGATTTTAGGAGTTTGGACTATGGCATATCTGCCCCAAGTTTTGCGGGGATGGCGGTATACTTGACTCTCTAGGCTGTACAGAGCTCTTCATGGGGTGTATATGGTTTGATCTTCGTGTCTATCGGGTTGCGTAGGGTTGGGCTTATGTGCACGGAGATTCATAGGCAGACATGAGGCCGGGGGGTGTGATGATGCGAAATGAAGGAGTGGTATATGCGGGATGGATTGCAGGCAAAATATACCAGAAACAACTCAAACCCATCCAAGTGATTCCAAGTGTATACTACATAGGGAAGCGACCTCAAAGAAAACGAAGGGAATGCAAGCCACTTCAAACCCAATCCGCGGAGACTGAGTTATACGTTATCTGAAAACGCCATTAGATGTTAGATCACCCCAACCCACATTGCGTGATATCTAAACATCTAAACTACACCCAACGCCCCACGTGCAAATCATAATCCCTAAGTTCTGAACCCCAAAAACCCGTTGACCCGAAATCTTAAAACGGCTTACAATCCCTAGATCCTAAAACATGCAATAGGAAGAGTCACAATTTATGCCCCTATACTTCAAGGCTGAAGCTTTAGCACCCTTTAAGATCTAGAGGTTAGGGCGCTTGTATTGTTTCATTCGATCAAGTATTAACCATGGGCCTCTAACATCTCTACCTGTTTCATCGGCCCTAATTGTTTTGGCCCCTGAATTGGGCATATAGGGTACATAAGACTAGGGGCCCACACTTCCAACCTCACGCAAAGGGGCGTTTCAAAGAAATGGGTACCAAGGGTTATAGTATTTTGGGGTCTATATTGGAGCCCTAAAGCCTGCACCCTAAACTGAAAACAACTCTAAACCCTTAACCCTAAACCCTAAACTCCAAACTCTAAACCCTAAACCCCAAACCCTAAACCCTAGACCCTAAACTCTAGACCCTAAACCCTATAAACCCTATATGAGCTATAGTCTAAACTCCTTAAGGGGGGTTATATGGGGGATTATATAGGGGACTATTAACGGGGTTATTAAGGGGGATACTGGGAGTTTAGACTATAGCTCATATAATCACC